CACACCCCCCTTCCATCTGTGGCCCCCCCCCCCCCCCCGGTGATTCTAATAAACAAATAATGGAGTGAAAAGTCACTATTCTAGCTCAAGTCAGTCCACAGGGAGATAGGAATTTCAAGAGAATATGAACGTCGAGCATTTTAGGAACATGTCCAAAAACCTCAAGGAAAGGGGTATCTAAAATGTCTTTATTTGCTATACTTTCTTAAACGCAAACTCCAAATCCTCAAGGCATTTTGGCAAGACCCTCATAGCCCTTTAATTTTCTCCCATAACATACAGAATTCCAGAAACTACAAATGAACAAGGCCAAACAAAAGGATTAACTTATAGTGGTGAACAGTTTCAATGCAAAGGATCTGGGGATTCCATTTTTCATTCTTAACATGGAAAAATGAACTTGTTAAAAACATTTTCTCCAAGTTAAAATATAAACCCACCAAAGTCTCCTTTTCTGCAGAGTTTTAATACATGATGTTTTTTTATAGGAGAAGTCTGAAAATAAAATGCAAGAAAATTTGTTGCAGCTCTCAAGCAAATTAGAGAATTTCATGAACAGACACAAACATGAAGCAGAACTAAACAAAGTCAAGTATTTAGAAAATAAATTGTCCAGAAAGATGAACCAAATGGAAAAGCAGATCTGGGATGAATTGGAGAAAATACAGAATGAGTATCAGTCAGGTGAGCAAATACCTTTTATCAAGTAAAGAACGTCTGCCCTTCCCTGTCCAGTCCCCCAGAGTTTTCCACTTAGAGCTATTCCAGGGATACACCTTGTCATTCGTGACATCTTTATGTGTTTAAATCAGGCTTCTCTAACTATTCCATAGAATGTCAGCAGACCGCCAGAAGGTATGTAAGTAAGTTAACTTTCTTCACTCACACTTGGCAATGTTTCGCTCACCATTGCTGTGAGGGTTTTGTGTGGGTTTTTTGCTTTTTTTTTTTTTTTACTTTAAGATCATTGCGCCGTCCATTTGTTAGACTTGTAAAGTTCTCAGAAATCACGAAGATCTGATTTATGGGTATATTATAAAATTAGGTGGTTAAATCAAATGTCCCTCATACTAAACCGTAGGTAATGAGCCCAGACAGATGTCAGACTGGAGACCTGACCTTTCAAAGTGAGGAAGAGAGATGAATGAGCAGAGTCCAGTATAATGACTGCTTTTCTTCTCAAGAGGCTAATGGCAGTGGTGTCAAGCTGCGCTAACATCAAAGAGGATTAATTTGAAAGGCTCGGCTAATTTGTCAACGGGAAGACCATGGGATAGGTGCTGTGGAGCAACCATCTGCCTCCAGTCACCACTCGGAGGGAATTACCAGCCATCAGAAGATTCCTTCATTAGAGAAAGTGCCAACTGTTTTCTGTCTTCAAGATCACTGCAAAACTATGTAAATTCCACCAACAATTGGTCTGGCATACAGACATCTTGGAGGTACCTTGGGAAGACTTCAAGGTCTCACTCTGTCAGCTATTCCTGGCACATCAGTAGACTGTGCTGCCTGGAATCCTAACCCTCACAACTCCCATCTCCTACCACCACATCAAAATAATGAATTATCTGGTCAGAGATTATGCTGCAAATGTAACCGTGCTTTTTGTTAAGGGTCCTGCTTTCTGCTTCGCCATTAGAGGTTTAATTTTACTCACTCCATTAGTATAATCTCAGGATGGGCTGAAGAGGATTCGGTAATCTTCATGTTTCTGCGGTTTTACGAAGTAGAAGTCCTATTGAAGAGGAACTGTAAACTAACCGTTTCCTCCTTTTTGCTTTTAATAAAAACGTGCTGAGAAATTGCCAGGGTCCAGCCTCGGTGTGGGTGGGTTATCTCGAAGGAAGCGGCGAAGGTGAACAGAAACAAAAATTAGACTAAGACCTCAATGCCTTGTAGCATGTTCTCAGCCGGCCACAGCCAGAGCAGAACTCTAGGCTGCAGCGCTGGTGGTTACTAAACACACGTATTTATTGAGGGATCTTACAGGAGTAGGAGGGGTGAGTGGGAAATAAAAGATTTACTCAATGAAACAGAGAATTCAAAGCATAGGAACAATGATCATAAAACATGATGTCTGTCTTGTTTGAACAGGTGAAGCCAAACACAGTTCTCAGAACAAAGGAGTCTATTTGATGCATTTTCTTCTTCAATCTTGATTACTAGGAAGGGTCTTTTGAAGAGGGGGCTTGCAGGATGTTTGATAGTTTCAGTCCTGAGCCAGTTTGATAACTTTGCTGAATACAAAGACCTAGAGAGAAATCTTGTTTTGTTAAGACACAGTTAATATATGGACTATCCATACATTACAACTATAGAAGGTGAGTCTATGATCTTATATGGGAAAGAAAGATGATCTTGTAGCTCAGGAGACAACACAGGATGTTTTATTAGCAGTTTTTCATAGTCAACAGCACATAGATGAGAAACTCTTTGTAGTTGAAAGCTACCTGTTGCTTTAGATAAGAGCTCCCAGCTAAGGTGGTTAATCTTTCTCTGGAGCCCTCAGGTTTGTTCATCCTGTCAGTCGCCAGTCAGGCTTTTCCTTCTTAACAAAAACCATGGGTTTTTGTTTTATTTGCTGACTCTGTCAATTAGTGAGTTCTTTTGTTTTATCTCTGGGTGAATGTGCCGACTTTGCCTAGCACAAGCTAACTTTGACCTGTAGTTTTAACAAGGGGTAGTTACATAAAACTAGCCTTAAACTAACTTAGTTTTCATATGCTACTGATGCTACTTTGACTTACACTATTTTGACCTAACATATGTTAATTTTGGCTTAGACAGACAAGTGGGGGAGTCTGAAACTTCCTGCCCTCTTCTTAGGGAACCACATTCCTATAAGATCACTAATTGGCTTTATTGTAATGGTTGGGGGTGATATCTTACTTTTGCAGGGTACCGTAATAACAGTAAAACTCACAGCAGAGAAATTAACTATAGGCCAGTAAAACGACACAAGGAGAGTTAGTAAACCGCTGGCCTTATCTTGCCGTTTCTTCCCAGCCCAGGCCATGGGAGACAGCCTCTTTACCAGCTTGTGTTGTCTGCATGGCCCCGTCAAGAAATAACTGCGTGAAAGGCCCTATTTAATTTGAAATAAAATGGGGGATGTACCCTAGGAATCTTGAAGTCCTCTTGGTCTGCGGACATGAGTGACTAGATATTCTTGAGAGAGACACCAAGTTTTGGGAGGGGGAAAAGCGAGAGGTGACACTCTTTAGTTCCCTCGATCAGGTTCCTCTCAGATTAAGTATTTAACTCTTTTCTGTGCTCTTTACTTTTAATTTGATAAGAAAAAATATTTAAAGAAAGATCACAGAAATTTCTTGTCAAAACAAACAGAAAGGAGAAAATATTTTAAATTTCTCTCTTGAACTACTTCATTCTGCAAAACTTGGGGAGAAGGGATAGAGCAGATTTAAATTTTCACAACGAAACCAGATACAAGTTGAAACATACTGCTAATAAATCTTCATGGCATATAAGACATGGATTATATACATTTTTAAACTGGACTTAATAGAGTTTAATGTGCTTTGAATTAAATGGTGATCAATTATGGCAGGACTGCTGATTAGCAACTTTTGTAAAAAAGAAAACGTTCCAATGCTTTGCTTAATTGAAATATTCCTTATCCTCTCTTATCCTCTCCTAGGATTTAAATCAATTCATGACTCACTCGGCTCCCTCCAACAAATACAGAAAACCAAGATGGATTTAGAGAAACATAAAGTACAGAAAGACCTAAAGAAGTTACAGCGTAAGATAGTGGAACTCCAGGAAGGATAAAACTTTCCAGCCGTCTTTTTTCACCAGCCAATGGAATGGTTTGGGACCAGTTGTAAAGAACAAAGTTAGTATTTCTGGAGTATTTACTACTTTCAGTGCCTCTGTATTTCCACCATCTTCAGGGAAATGGATGTACGGGTGGTGGCGAATAAAGCAAATAAGCTTCATGATGTCTACAATTTACTAATGAAAAAACAGGAATTTCTTCACATACATGCCTTTTTATATTTTTATTTACTGCCAAATAAATAAGAGCAGTCTACATAATATACATAAATAGGCAAAGAAGGCCGGGTGTGATATGGAAATGCAGGAACTGTGGCAAATTGGAGACTACTTATTCTGTTTAAAAATACGAGTCATAATGCAGTTCAGCTTATTAATATGCATACAGTCCATTATTACCAAAAGTCCCAGTTTTCAAGAGAAGCTTAATTTTTTTGTGGGAGGTTTTTGCTATAGGGCGCATGCGCTAGCCAGAAAGACAGAGAGAGAGAGACAGACAGACAGACAGACAGAAAACAAGAACTCACACCCCAGGGAAGATGGCCATGCTGCAATCCCTTCTCCTCCATTCTCCTCTCAGAATCCTGGGCACGCACACACACATGCCTGGAGTGAGTTTAAGCCACTGGGTCCAGGATTCGAACCACAGTCGACTACATGGGAGTCCAGCAACATAGCCATCATGTCAACTGCTGATCCCAAGAAAATAATGTTTTAAAAACCCAATGAGATACCACAACATAACAATAAGAAGAGCTATTACCAAAAAGTCTAATGATAACTGTTGGCAAGGATATAGAAAGAAGGGAATCATTTTTTACTAGCAGTTTTATAAACTGGGACAGCTGTTTAAGAAAACAGTATGGAAATGCCTTTAAAAAATGAAAAATAGAACTTTCATATGATTCAGCAATCCTACTTCTGAGTGTATACACATAAAAAGTGAAGTATCTCACAGAGCTGTTTGCCTTCTCATGTTCATTACAGCATTATTCACAACCCCCAAGATATGAAAATAAAAAAGTTTCTAGGGACCAGCAGTTAGTGTAATGGCTATATCACTGGACTCCTATGTAGCTGACTGCGGTCTGAGTCCCAGACCCAGTGGTTTAAACTCACACTGGGTGCGTGTGCGTGCGTACCCAAGATCATGAGAGGAGAATGGAGGAGAAGGGATTGTGGCGTGGCCATCCACCCGGGGGGTGATTTCTCACTTTCTGTCTCTCTGTCTCTCTCTGTCTTTCCGGCAAGCACACGCGCCGTATATTAAAAAACTCTCAAAAAAAAAAAAAAAGTTTCTAGAGGTCAGCAGGTGGCATAGTGGTTAAGGTGCTGGACTCCCACTTCAGTTCAAGTCCTGGACCAGGCAGCTTGCGTTCTCTCTCTCTCTCTTAAGTGTACATGCCCTATAGCAAATTAACAAATAATAATAAATTAAATAATTCTTTAAAAAAAAAGTTTTTATTAACAGATGAATGGATAAATAAAATGCAATACACATACAAATGGAATATTATTCAGCCTTTAAAAAGAAGGAAATTTTGCCATTTGCAAGAACATGAATGAACTTAGAGGATATTATCACTTACATGAGGAATCTGAAGAAATCAAACCCATAGACATAAACAGAGTAGAACAGTAGTTGCCAAGGGGTGGGGATATGGTATATAGAATTTCAGTCAAAGGATATAAATACGAAGTTATAAGATGAATAAGATCTGGAGATCTAATACATCATGGTAATCATTGTTAATAATAACATATTGTGTACTTGAAATGTGCTGAGAATAGACCTTAAGTGTTCTCATCACACACCCACACAAAAGACAGCTACAGGACATAAGTTAATTAGCTTGATTGTGATCATCATTTCACAATGTATATGTGTACATACTACCATGCTGTCCATCTTAAAAAATATACAATGAAAAAAATTGAACTTGCTCTTTAGGGGAAAAACATCATATAAAATTATGTATACCAGGAACTAAATGACAATGTTCATGTGTTTGCTTCCCCGTTGGATATGAAGGGCAAGTCTCTCACCTTATGCCACACAGAGAACTGTTTCTCACTCCTACTACAAAGTGAATATGCTCACCACCTGATAACCAGGAGAGCAGCAAAGCCCAGAGTCAGAGAAATGGCGCCCTCAGAGTACTCTGGATACCAACACTTTTCTCTTCTTTGACAGAAACTTTCTAAACACTGCCTCACTTCCATTGGCTTCAACCATAACAGCAACAAGTAGCATTCAAAAACATCCAGAAGGAACACTTGATTCATGATACATATACATACATAAACCAAAGAAGATCTCCAAACTTTTTTAGGGTACTACTTTTTATATCTTCCTAGTCTCCACTCATTCATGTGCTAAGCAGTGTGGACACAATATTATAATAACTAACCCAAACTTGGATCTGTTCTTAGGGAGTAGTCTACTGGAAAAGACCAACGATTTAACTTGAAAATACATGGGCAAATAAAGGGTGCGATGGGAGCACCTGGAAGAGACATTTAACACAAACCCAGAGAATCAGATGAGGCATTTTCCGAGATGTCTAAACTGAGACCTCTAACATACAGGTAGGCATTAGCCAACTGGCAGAGGCGAGGCTCAAGCAGATGCAGCAGCCTGAGCAAAGGTCTGGCGGCTCAAGGAGAAAGAAGCATGCCAAGAACTGCAAGAAGCTCAATAGGGTCAGAGCCTAAAATGTGCAGTGGGAGGTGAAAAGAGAGAGAGAAAGCTGGAGGTTAGAAATGGGGAGTCCAATCACAAGGGCCTTTCGATTCATGTTGAGGAACTTAGGTTTCAGCTTGAGGACCTAGAGTAGTCTTTAAAGGATTTTTAG